TCCCCCAACCCTGATCAGGGGCAGAGCCAGCTGGCCAACCACCCATGGCCCCTCCCCCATGCTACTGGCCCCTGATTGGCACTCCCCACCCCATTCGGGGGCGGGGCTGGCTGGCCCATTGCCCACAGCCCCTCCCCTTGGCCAGCCCTGCCCCCAATTGGCCCCCAACCTCAATCAAAGGTGGGGTCCACTGGCCAATCGCCCATGGCCCCTTCCCTCAGCCAGTCCAGCCCTGATCGGGCCCAGATCGGGGTGGGCCAGCTAGACTCCACCTGTGCACGAGTTCATGCACTGGGCCTCTAGTAGGTCTAATAAAAAAGAAATCTTTCCCAGTCTAGAACTTAAGTCATGCTGCTATAAAGAATTAAACCAAATATCTTTTGGTGGTCTTCTAAATGACTCAAAAATTAGGCTAGGACAAAGTGTCAGTATTGAATTAGAAAGAATATTTCAGAAGGAAATATGAATTCACAAAGAAATATGGGTTCAAAGAAAATACTTTAAACAGAAAATTGGGGTAAATGTTTTGTGACACAAGAGGAACTAGGCAAAGTGCAGGAGTTTAAGTAAGAACTTTTAATGGTTGAAATCATTCTGTCTGAGGTGACAATGAAAGCAAAAATGATTACAACAAATAGCTATTAATGCATTCTCTTCTTTGTCATCATTCATACATTAATTCCTTTATTCTCATTTACATATGTTCATACTAGGACAGCATTCTGAAGTCATGAAGCATAAGTTGTATGTAACTGAGTAGAAAGATCATAATCAACTCAGATTTCCAGAAGAGCTGCAGGATGTGGAAAATTACAAAGACCTTAACATGGAGAGCCAAAATGTGCTACCAATGACTCCCGTCTGCATCATCAGTGTTAAAAATACAAGCCCATATTGTTATAAAGTCAGACCATAATTATAATGCCTGCTGTTGCTATGCAAAGAATCCCAGAGAGAAGGAGATTTAGGTAACATATAATAAATAACGCACAGGCTAATCATTTATTTTCCATTCTTAAATGTCTTTCAAAATAATGATGCTCATGAAAATGCAATGTACTGATAGTCCTGGGGTCTGTTGCAACGGAACAGGGACACGGCCGAGAATGATGCTGTTTTCCCTTGATGAGAAAGAGAAGAGTTCAGGGTCCAGAATTTGTTAAAAATGTCCACTCCTCTGCTGATTTTGTCACCAGGGAATCAATTAGTGAATAGGCACCAAATAAAAATAATTTGTCCCTGCTAGAACCTGGTCCGTAGAAACTGTGCACAAGATGAATTTTAAAAGGTGCTGGTTACTTGTTCAGATTACGGATTTTAATGACATCTTAATAATCGTTAGAATTGTATTGCTGCTTATTGCAAAAATGAATGGTGCCACCACTTCATCAACTATAAGATTAGGTATGTTTTGAAAAAATAAAGCGTATTAAATCTTCATTTGTAGGTCAGTATTCACAAAGGTCTTGATGTTGCTGGTACATAAATGTAAAAATTCATTTGCTGTCTAGAAAGTAGAAGAAATGTTACTGTTTATCAGGAAGCAGTGGAAAAAAAACAAAACAGGTAATACTCAAATTTTATATATCCAAGATACCCTACTTTCTGTGATTCAGCATAATTTGTTAAGCTGCAGAGAAAAGCTCTCTGGTGGACTATATAGTAAGACAATGCATATTCCCATTAAGAAGGATAAACTTCCCAATTCTAAAGACCCGCATGTAGCCAGGTAAGGATTGCTCACCAATGAATCTGCTCTGGGCAAGCATTTCTACTCTTAGCTCTCCCTTCAGGCCATCTCCCGTTTGGAGGTGTCCATACTATTCTATTCTTTTCGAAGGGACTATTTGCTTGTGCTCTTTGTGATCCATTGAATAAAGCCACTCTTCAGCTCCACCATCTTATATTTTATTTCCTTTTGTAAATCCATCTTCCGTTTTTCCAATTGCTTACAAACCTTCCCAAAGGCATCAGTTTAGAATATTAAAAACTGAGGCTTGTTTAAGGAAATCTACATCTCCTGTGATTCTTCTAAATCTAATAAATCAAATAATCTACAAAGAAAATCTTTTTCTCTACTTATAAAAGAAAGGCATATAGTTTTATAAATACCAGCCACTTTTCCTCAAAACAGTTAAGGGTAAAGAAAATGAATACATTTGTTGACAGAGATGCTCTAGAGAGTTTTCAACCCTTTACCCTAATTTGGCCACATAGAGATCCAAGGAATTTGACATTCAGGGCTCACTGAGCAGTGATAAAATTTATTATATAATTTCAAGAGAGAATACTTGTTAAAAGAAAAACTTTTAACTACTATACTTTCTTTTGAAAACATGCTTTTCCATAAGAACAAGTTTTTGTTTTGTTTTATTTGTTTGTTTTTCAATGGATTATTTTTTATCTCTATTATATAAATGGTTATATGACTATCTTGGTTTAATCATAACATGTTTGTTATTGGACTAATGGTCTTAACAGTGGCGCAATATTTCCCTTATTTATTATAATGTGAATATATTATACGGTCATTTTGAATACATCCTATTCAAATAGATTGTGGCCATAATTGTTTAGCCTTCTTTTCAGTGACTAAATAGTGCCAAACATGATCAAACAAAAGATTGGATTACCTTCCTAGACACAAGCACTCAATCACACACACACACACACACACACACACACAATATAGTGTTCTGAAAATTCCACTTAAAAAATTATCAATTTGACTGGTTCACACTTTGGAAAATGGACAATTCTGCACTGTTAAAATTTACAATGTTCTGGAGTGTCTGCAGAAGATAAAACAGATGCTGATGAATCCCCGGCTATTAGAAACATGTGAAATTGTATTAGGGATTCAATGATAGTACAATTACAGATTTAGCATGATCTTGGCACATAGTAAAAGCTAAATAGTTATCAGTGGCAGCACCAGAATCTGTATTTAAGACAGATTAGGGTCAACAGTCTGATTGAAAGTAAAATAAGAAAACTCGTTTTAAAGTTGTGATTTTAAAGCAAGTGTATTGCTTTTATCTTTTTCTTTTTAAATGCACCTGGGAAGGAAAGGCTGATGAGAATTATGGATGAAGTGAAAAATTCTCCCCCAAAGGCTACACCAGTGGCACCTATAATGATTACAGAAAGGCTTCCACTTAGGGACGATAGGATCAGGCACTCGATCCTATTTATGTGCAAGGGGACACAGACACTAATAGCTAAACCAGAGGCCTGACCACCTCTGGAGTTCTGCCAAAACGCAAATGTCCACATTTACATGATATTCCGTCTAAACCCTGAGTAATTTGGTTTTACTGTGTTGAACATGACTTTCTCCTATTCTCTTTTACTGTTATATTCCAATTTTAGCTCATGAATTTTAATTGTTAATCCTGCTTCCACATGAAGCATCTAGGGAACACACCCTGATATTGGACAATGTATGGCCAGCATGTCTGTGAAGCAATCCTGTATTTATAGTCATGTTATCTTCATTTTAAATTTCATTTTAATGCAGTATTTATTTTAAAGGCATATTTTATCTCTACCATTTATTATCAAGTTTTTAGTCTCTTTGTAATTTCTAGCTTATTTAATTTCTCTTTTTATTTTCTTTTCCCTTGTACATTTCAATCTCTCCAAATATCTACTATTTTCAATTTTACATAACCTTTCCTAATCAATATGCTAAATTATTTTTTATTTTTTAAAAACGTAACTAGAAATAATCGATAAATGAAGTCAGAATTCTGCAAAAAAACCTATCTATGTACTAACTTTTCAAAGTTGAAAATGATCTCTTATCCCTTTCCCCTCAGAATAAAGATGGAATCTAGTGAACTGCTTGAGTTTTACGGGCCTTTATTTCCTCAATCTTCATCTATGTTTTCATTTACATTAAGTATCTCAAAACTTCAAGAATGTATTTAAAAACAATAATTGGCTAGACATGTCCAGAAGGAGTTACAAAATAACTTATAACCCCTCTGATAAAATGCAAAAAAGTAACATATAAACTAATATTACTAAAGCAGTATACATACATCTATTTATATTTTTGTATATACTTACTTATTTTGTTCTCATAGATTTGCATGCACAATATGAGATCATAAATGCAACAAACAGCACCACACCAACACCGAGTAAGGTCATTTCTACGACGCCAAGGAGCTTTATTTTTCCAGTCACTTGGCTTTTAAACATGTCTGCCTTCTCATCGCCAATGGTACCCGTCTGTAATCAAGTTAATAATTAGCATTATTTGCGTAGATCATTAGCGCCAAATACCTAAAATCCTCCACTTACGTATCACTCTTTTCCCCCCAGACATCTATAGAAGTATTAGTTATCTGTATCTGTAAGACAAGCCAATGAAATTCCCTTTGCATGTTCAAGGAGGCAATACATGCCAAGGTAGAATACAGAGTGACATATAACCCACTTCTCTTTAAACATGTTATCTGGCACTCTTCAACATGCTAGCTCCGCTGATCTTTAAAACTGTCTTACCAAAATCGTTCACAATTTTCCAAAGTGTTTTTCCTAGTGACATAGGAAAATGGCAAGGGTCAACTATTTAATTCCCTAAAAAGACATGATGCATTTCCTAATTCTGTGGCTAATCAATTCCATAATTCCATGGTTTACACAAAAAATATCTTGTCAGGCAATAGGATAGACTATCTACAACTGCTTTAACCTGGCTTTTGTAAGCTTGGTTGGCTTTTATTAACTATAATATTCAGCGAGCCTTGAATTATTTGAAGTTAGATATGTGAATGACTCTCTCTAACACAAACATATGACAAGAAAAAATGTTTAACAGATGCATTTTGAAAATAATCTAAAATGACAAAAAGGCACAGACAATTAAGACAAACTTGATATTTCTATTTGGTTTGGTTCTCTCAAATAGCTATAATTAATATTATGTAAACTCATCTATATGAACAATGAAAACACATACAACCTCCAATATACATTAAAGGTATATTCAATTTTAAAATGTCAAAAGTATTTTTATATACAAAGAAGTTTATTGCTTTTAATACTAATAGATAAAAATACTAACCTCATTAAGCCAAAGAATAGGCACAATGTAGCTCCTAGTCAGGCGCTTTAAAACACTGTAATATACATTTAAAAATTATGAAAATATATTACACATATAGGACAGAAATTTTAGTAATTACCAGTGTCAATAAATATTCAGAAATTAGTTATTCTTGCAACTTGGTTAAGTTCCTTGATTTTTGTTCCCTGTAACGAATCATTTAGGTTTTAATATGGTTGTTTCTCTGGTATCTTCTATTCTAAAAGCCTTCATAACAGATTTATAATTGATTGACTCTTTCTAAACACAGATTTTTCCTTTAAACAAATTCTACTCAGGAAAGTAAAATACAAATTTTGAAAATTATTGTCATAGAAATATTTGGAGAGTAAGCAACATGTGAGATGCCACCTAATACTTCAAAACATTCCAAACTATATATAAATCACTTCAGTGAACAACAGATGTACTTCTAAATTACAAATGAAAGTTATAAGCATTTAATAATTATTATATAATATAGTCAAGCCAAAGAGAAGTTGAAGTTTTATATTATTTTCACTTACTTTCATAGATTTACTCACATTCTTACAAGAAAATACTAAAAGCATGTAAAGATAACCTTGGTCAAGAGACTCACTCAATTTTTTTTGATTGCTTGACCAATATGTTGACTTGCAGCCGTTTTGCAAATTGTAAAGTGAATCCAGTTATCTAAAAAAAAGGAACAAGTTAAAATTATTTTTAACTTCTTTGGAAAACATTCTTTTATAATAGCCAACATTAATTTGTAACGTTATATAAAACTTAAGGTGAATCTGTTCTACTTGAAACTTGTGTATTTATTAAATAAGTAATTGGACATGTTAAATATTTCCTACATAACTATCCATAGTTGCATTATGTGAATATGCGTATATATATGTGCATGCATATGCATGCAAGCACATATGCATATACATGTACACACACATATAATTTCTTTGCCTACTCTAATGTCAAGGTTTTAGCTAGGTTTATGATATTTACCAGAAATGGTTTTGGGGAATCAACAATGATATAACAGTACTAAAACATAAAAACATATACAGTTTATATAGTTCCTAAACTATGCAAGGTCAAATATATATTCAGTCATAATTCATATATCTTCAGTTTAATCATACTACTATCATTATTGAAATAAAATAAAAATTGCTACTAAAATTCTGGCATTCCATTAAATTTTTGAAAAGTGGAACAGTAAAATAATTAAAACTGTTGTCCTTATAAGATTTTTATAAATTTTTCGTGACACTAAATATAATAGATCTAGCCCCCAATTCACATATACCTATAAAATCTCCTTTTATCCCTCATAATATAATATAAAGCGTTTCTTCATATAAGCAATGATTAGAATCATTCCCATCACTAGTATTCCTGACCCATGATCCATTAAAAATGCTTAACAAGTTCCATATTCTTAAAAACTAAAATTGTTACCTTGATATTTCATAAAGTAATAGAAAAAATCAATGTAATTTTCATTGAAATAAAAGTAATTTATCAATAAATATGATCAATAAATGTAATTGACAAGGAGAGAATTTATTTTTTTCTGTAAGTTAATTAAAAAAACACAATATTAAACAAGGCAGATCAATAGTATATTTGCTTACAGGTTCAACATCTAAGAATGTGCTGTGTTCTTCTTCATCTGGATGTAAGCCTTCAATAGTTTCTCTAATTTCAGGAGAGGCATGTAGGAAATGAGGAAGTGAAATGATCACAGGTTTTCCTGAAAACAAGTTGTAGGAAGATAATTGGGGATAAATATTTCACATAACACTAAAAAAAAGATTCTTTGAAAATAAATTTTTAAAAATTTTAAAAAATGCATAGCTGGGTTTGAACACTAATTTTGGGGGATGAGGGTGAGGGAGAATTATAACATCCGATTGCTACTGTACAAATAAAATAACAAAATTCTCCATTATTTTACTAACCAGTCAGTTGATTCTGTTGTTTATGCCTTAAGTATTAATTTTTAATATGTAAGGTCAGCTGCTGAATACAGTTTTAATCACATATGTTTTTGTTTTAGGTAGTAATATATCTATGAACTGAGAATTAATTAAGAGGTTTTTTCTTTCTTTATTCTCACCACTCCAATATGAAGAAAGTGAGCAAACCAAGACAGACCACAAATTGTGTGTAAGTCAGCCTCTGTTTCAGAGACACACTGAAAATATACTTATTTTTATTTACTATTTTCAAAGAAAGAAAAAATGGCAGACGCTCGTAGTATTCTGGGAATTATTTTCCTTTTACCCTAAATGTAAAAGGAGCACAGGGATACTATATGGCAAAAGAAACAATAACAATAACAACCGTAACAATAATAAGGCTAAGTGGAATGGGAGAAAATATTTGCAGACTAGATATCCAATAAGTAGTTAATAGGCCAAAATCCAAAATATACAAGGAACCCATACAACTCAAAATGACAATGAGCAGCATAATAATAATAATAATAATAATAATAATAAATGGAAAAGAGCCTAGACATTTTCCTTAAGTAACACAGAGAAATACTAGTATGATTCCATTCCACTGCCTAATAACTAACGTATGCAGCACTGAAACACAATTAGGACTTTGAACACAATACAAAAAAACACACAAAAATTTCCTACCATCACCCTTACTTTCTGTCCTTATTGCTTTCTCACTTTAAATTTTTGGTCAAAGGGATCCTGGGTAAAGGTTACATTTTAAAGGACACTGCAAATTACAACATGAACTGTAATACTGAGAACATTTACTCACCTTCTTTGCACTTGCTAATGTCTAGCAAACCATAATATGTACAATTATTTGAGATCTCTGGGTCTGTGCAGAAGCAATGGTTTTCTGGATTTTGAACTGGAGATGCAAAGGCCTTGGGTGGAAGAATAAATCTAAACACAGAAATTCCTTTCAGATCAAGTTCGGCTCCAAACACAGCATAGATGGACCTAAACACAGAGAAAAGAGAGCTTCATTCCAGGGATCTGAACTGTATTTCAGAGATTCATTGTTTTCTTAGTTTTAGATCTATATTCTTACTCTAACTTGGAAAATCTAATATACTCTTATCAGAATTCTTGCTTAATTTTTAGGGAAAACAAATCCTTATAAAATTTTAAGGCATATCAGAACTCAATACCTGAGTATGAGCTATCCTTACCTTTATTTTCAAAACCTTCTAAGAATAATTTTTGCTTGTGAAGTACCATGGTGTATTGATACTAAAGACATTTTTTTCAGTTTATTCCCTTCATAGATTAACTATTTATATGACTGTCTCAAATACTTTTTTGTGTGTGCCCACTTCAATAAAATAAAAATAAAATACCTGTCTTTCAAAACAGTCATGAAGAGAAAGACCATTTACTTATAAGTGTGTGCATGTGAGCTTAATATACTGTATTCTATACCTCCATCATTTACCAAGTGTCCACCATAATCTTGGTAATGTGCTGGGGCTCAATAAATATTTCTTCCAATCCCCAGATAACTCTCTAGGAAGAAACACTGCTCTCTTCAATTTTACAGATAAGGAAAAGATTCAGAGATATTAAATACTTGCTCACAACCACACAGCCTTTGGGAACAGGGTTAGGATTTAAGCATATTGGTGTGGCTTCTAATGCCTGTAGCATCTACTAGGCCCCATCAATTGGAAAAGATGCTGTAGGGGAGGTAGAACACATTAATTCACATAGTTCTGTGACAGTGACATCACCTTCTCTGGACATCTTAGAAAAATTGGGCATAGAAGGATAGACTACTATCCTATCTAATAAAAGAGAAACATGGTAATTGGCATATGACCGCTACCCTTCCCATTGGCTAATCAGGGGGATATGCAAATTAACTGCCAGCCAAGATGGCAGCCGGCAGACAGGCAGCTTGAAACTAACATGAGGCTTGCTTGCTTCAGTGATGGAGAGCTCCACCGTTCCCCGCCTGCCGCTGCAGGCCTCTGAGCTGCAACTCTAAGCAACTATGTAACAACTATAGAAGCTAAACAAAACCCCAGAAACCTGCTTTAGTCCTTCAGGCTTCAGTCAGCAGGGTCGCAACATTGTTTCAAATACAGAAGATAAACAAAGGCCAGAAACCTGCTTTTAGCAGTGAAGGCCTAAGAGCTGGAGTCAAGCCTCAAAGCTAAAATTGGCCCAGAATTAAAAAAAAAGAAAAATAGGAGTGGTTGGGAGCTTCAGTCTCCCGCCAGCCTGAAAACAGCCCTCAGCCCCTCACCCAGACTGGCCAGGCCCCCCAGTGGGGACCCCCATCCTGAAGGGCGTGGGACCAGCTGCAAACAGCCATCATCCCCTCACCCAGGCTAGCCAGGCACCCCTGTGGGGACCCTCACCCTGAAGGGGGTGTGACCAGCTGCAAACAGCCATCATCCCCTCACCCAGACTGGCCAGGATTCCCAGTGGGGACCCCCACCCTGAAGGGGGTGTGACCAGCTGCAAACAGCCATCATCCCCTCATCCAGACTGGCCAAGCACCCAAGCGGGATCCCTACCCT